ATTTTGAACCTTCTGTCTCAAGTGATGCATCATGGGACTGCTTGTCAATTTAAAGGAACAGTGCACTTTTTATAGATGATGCAAGAGCGTTGCGGTAATGAGGAACTTTTTGTGCGGACACAATCATTTTCAATAAAATAAATATATATTTGTTGTTATACACCATAAATACCTATACTGATCATAAATATAGACATTTTTACACAACATTGTACAATTTTGTTCTACTTTAACAAAACTGATTTTTCAGGGAACTAAAAAGAACAATACAATAATGGATCTGGACACATTTCGGTAATGAGAATTCACCGGGATATTTTGTTTAATAATTGTAAAAATTATATTAAAAGTGTAAAAACAACATTTATCCCTAAAGCGCACTTCACCCTCTTTATAGGAAATATCATAACTAATAATAATAAAGTGTTTTGTTTGTAAAATATAACGTATAACCAGGATATGTTCCACGAATCGCTTCATCGAGAAATCACCCAGCTAGGCTGCTGGGGCGGCACCGTGGGGCATAAACAACAACAATAAAAGAGAGAAGAACTGACCTTTGGGGGACAACATACATATACAAAACACTGGAGGAAAGGCGCACCTGCGGGCGGCACCTGCGAGGCTGGTAGCCTTAGGCGCGCTGGGGAGGCATGCCTGGGGGGGCACCTGGGGGGGCACATGGGGCTGGCAACCCTGGGTGCCCTGGGGGCCAACTGCCAGCTTTGGTAGCAGGGCCACTGGCCACTGGGGCCTGCTGGCTAGCGCCCTGGGGGCTGCACCCTGGGGCTGCACCTGGGGCTCGCACCTGGGGCTGCACCTGGGGCTGGTAGCCTAGGCTGCTGGGGCGGCACCTGGGGCGGCACCTGCGGGGCAACTGGGGCGGCACCTGGGGCGGCACTGGGGCGGCAACCTGGGCCCGGCACCTGCGCTGCCACCTGGGGCTGCTCCTGGGGCTGCCCTGGGGCCTGGTGGCAGGGCAGGGAACTCTTTATCGCTTGGACCTGTCAAGATTTGGACACAGGATCTAAACACATTCACGATTAAAAGTTGTGCTATTTACGACATTCCGTCGAACAGCGTGGACGTGGCGTGGCGTCCCGTGGCGTCCAATTTCGATCCTTCGCCATAAAAAGAGGGATTTGTCATAACTTCTGCGTACATGATCCGACTGCAACGAAACTTCACGTTTGATAAGAGTCCCGCTGTACCGCTGTAACTTCTCATAGGGGACATATTGGATCTACTTCAAAATTGGATGGTAAAAAATGTTGCTGATTAAAACTTGTGCAACTTGTGACTGTACATTGAAGGGTGTGTCCGTGGTGTGCCGTCAAAGTTGGCCATTTTGAATTCCGTGGCCATTTTGAATTCCGTGGTCATTTTCAGTGAATTTTTCGCCTTGTATTTGAACAAACTCCTCATAGGGGACTTATCGGATATACTTCAAAATTAGACAGTACAATCAAAAAATGTTGCTAATTAAAAGTTATGCTATTTGTGACTGTACGTTGAAGAG